GTTTGTTACCTAATGAAGTAAAATATTCCTGCTACAATAATATACCAATGGTTCAATGAAAACTGAGATAAACACATACAAAATTTATTTCTGCCTACTTGAAATCTTCAAGTTACTTACAGTATCGTACAGGCTGCTCAGTTCCCTTATCTGCATGACAGTTCTCTAGTAATATTTTGTTACTGATTTTGGAGAGTAGGAAATCAGTAGCAATTTCTGTTCATTGTCTAAAAGAAACATCTAACAAAATTTAAACTATGAGGGACAAAGCAAAACTCAGTATTAGTACAAAGAGCTATTAAATGAGTAAAATACAACAAAAGGGGGGGTACAATATTTACTTTCATTGAAATGAGAAGTTTCAGGTATCATTTGTGACCATTGATTTTAAAAAGTTCAATCAGAAGGAAAAATTTTAAATGGGAAAAAGACTTTGTTGGAAAGACTCTTCACTGTGTCTTAGCCAGCCCTCATCAGAACTTTTCACATAATGGATATCTTAGAATAAGACATATCACAGCCCATTTTCCTATCAAGTATCAAGCAAAAGGCAAATTAAAACTGAGGGACACAATACAGCTATGAATTTGCTGCAAGTGACTTGTTTTCTTCCTGCAACTTGTATGTTTCTGTATACCAGTGGTCATACCCTCACTGATCAAAAAAGCCATGTTCAAAGACCAAATGGCTGCCTTCAGTACCTTATGTCTGTTAAAAAAACCCCAAACCAACCAAAACCCCACCAAAATCCAACACCAACACCCCCTCCAACATGAACTCCCTTGACAAAACCAAGACAAGTCATTTATCTTGTTAACCTAGGTCAGCTTCAGATAACACAGAGGGATGGGAAACAAGAGATTCAAGGGACAATACTGTTTGGGATTCACTGAGAAAGTAAAATAACTATTGCCTACCATTTCCACTAAAATTTGAACACAAGTATATCTTGTCATTTAAAGAAATATTACAGGCAAGACAAGACCAAAACAAACCAAAACCTAAGTCCTCAGTAAAACTTCCAGCTTCACTAACATCATAGAAGTTCAAGAGTACAGAATTCAACTCTGTACTTGCTTGTTACAATGCCTTCCTTACTTTCTAGAATGTCACAAATCTGTCAGTAACACAGCTTTGTATTGGTATACATGCAAAGTGATTGCAAAAATCTTCTATTGAAAAATATTAATAGTGTCCAAACAAACAAACAAACAAACAAACAAACAAATAAATGTATGTTTCCTGGAACACTGGAAATCTCGGCTAAGCTGATGAAAGGTGTCAAACACTAACTATGATGAACTTTTACAAAAAAGGAATAGTAAGAAATGAAAATAGTATTTCAAACGCAGTAACTATTCAGTACTGTAAGTGCTTATATTTTATGCAGTAAGAGCAAATATGAAAGAAGTATGAAATAAAACCAAGTGATAGACTTGCCATATGTCTTTGCACATTCTTCACTGAGTAGGGGAATTTTCAGAATGTCACTCAAAAGTTTATAAGAATTAAGTCTGGGGCAACAGGACAGAGAATACAAGAGGTACTTCATAACATGTAAAGGACAAAAGAGTGGAGACAATGAACAGAGACCATAATCCAGGTATGCAGAACTACCAAGAAAGAAGCACAGAAATAACAGAAAGGTAAGTTGGAAAGCACGACTGAGCAGAATAGCAAGGAAGCAGGTATGTATCTGGTTCTCAGGCAGGGATCTCCATTCAGTGCCAGAAACAAGCAGAAGATATGGAATGAGCAAGCATATACAGAGGAACCTATCACATAAACAGCTGTGTAGTATGCTGATCTTACTAACAAATACCCAAATCTTAGCAGCAACCAAGTAAGAAATCTTCCGGTCTTAGCACAGGGAAGTTGTCTACACAACATCCAAGAATAATGCCATCAGCATGTTATTTGCCTTTCTCTCTTTCCATCACATACTAGAAGGCAAGAAATCTGTTACCTAAATTCTATGATTTATACAAAAGTTGACTAATATCTACTTTAGGTGAGATGTTGTTGACAACCAGATACTAACTGCAGGAAAATGGAAGGAGAGGTAGTGGGGATGGAGAGATGGTCAAGTCACTCAGTCTCTAAGACTAAGACAGGTAGTCACCTACAAGGTGTTCACAGATAACTGATGATGAACGCCAGTAACTGGACAGATGCTTGGTATTTTCAAATTTTTTGGATGTACCAGTAGCTTCTGTATATACACAACAAATATGGAAGTTATAATTTTCGCTTCAAATGCCTTTGACCGAGACATTTTTAGAATTATAACACAATATATCCTCATTTTACAGTACTTGCTTCGAAAGATGAAGCTGAGCAACTGTTTAATCTTTCCAGAAGGTATTTAAGTGCTAAGGCCTCCATACATAACACTTGACTGTTAGTGTCACTACAGAATACTACAGTATCATGGCAGAGATATAAAAACTGGCACGGACACAGTGTTCACTCAGTACCAAAAAAACCTGACGAAAGATCAATACAACCACGACACTGGACAAATATGTCAAGAAGGAAGAAGCAGCTTGTCTGCTTGCAGGATGTTGGACTAAATAACCTCCACCAGTCCCTTCCAAGCTATTTGATTGTGTGATTAAGAAAAGCAGTTAGAAGTTAAGGAACATTTCTCAGGTTTTTTTATCCATGTAAAAGAGGTACTTTACTAGAGGCAAGCTTCAAGAATGCTGGTGCCATGTAATTTACAAAAGACCCTGACAATCACTCTCTAAAACAGACTTAGTCTTCCCAGAATTAAGAGAACTGAACATATGAGGATTTTATTTTTGGTATTGCTTAAAAGAACATCTAAAGTTTAGCAAGAGAAGCTATTATCCTTGCCCCAAGCACAGCTTTATCATCATGAAAGCAGATAATACCTCTAAACTTCATTAATTTTATTCACAAAGGAAAGAAAGGATCTGTCATAAAGAGAAAGTTGACCAAAGATATATTTGTTCTTTCTACAGATTTTTCACAGATTTACTAGGTTGACTATAACCAGATAGGATGTACAGATTGGGACTTCAGTAATAGCATCATTGGAAAAGGAAGACAACATTTGCCTCTATAGTGCAAGGCCTCAAGAAGCATTTAGAGAACAATTTCCAGAAGCAGTTCTTTAAGCATCTTCTTCTATATGTGACTGCTCACTAGGCTACTGAAGTCACATATAAAAACACAAAAAATACATTTAGGTGATACAACATGAATAATCTAGTATTATAGAACTTTTAAACTGACAAAATTACCTACTGTTCTATCCACCAGATCACTCAAACACAGCTTGAATCATTAGCAAGTGCAGACTACTAAAACTGATCCCAGGCAAGTGAGTATACACGTGAACCTGGTATGAAGACAGTTGAAATGTAACTGGAATCCTCATTTTTGCATAAATCCTTTCATCAGTCCCCATCCCAAACAAAGCAGAGTGACCACTGCTTATACATTTTATGAATTATCTATACGGCCCCTTTGAGTTTTTGCAGCTTTTTAGTGTTTTAATCCAGAATTTTAAGAAGATCCAAAAATCTGATCTTACGAAGTGTGAAACTAATCCTGACGTTCTCCATTTGCTCCATATTTCTGAGTTGGCAACAGGAAAAAGTAACTGTGGAAGAGTGAACAATTGTATGACAGGGCTTCAGACATACAAGAAAACACAGAATACACTTTTGGCATTCAGTAAGAAAAACATCCCTTCTGAATGATCTAATTGTGGCAGAAGATAAGGTGTTTCCAACTGTTGTAGAGGAGTGTGCTTCTCTGTTTTATTTCCCTGTATACCAGCAATTCTTAAGGAATTTTTTTCTTCTCCATAACAGGGTCTAATATTAATAATCAAGATCATTATGTGGTTAATGCTCTGTAAATGAATCAAACTATTACATCTCAATAAAATGCTTCACTTTTAGAGCTGCACTGATCTTGCCAAACAAGAAAGTAATTTTTCCAGGGTGTCAGTACTGTTTCTAAGGTCTGAGGCTCCTATTTTGAAGATGACCTCCTCAGGAGAACTAGTAATGTATACATTTTGCAGTACTCTTCAGAATGCAATAGTACACCAGTACTCCTGGCTTCCAAACACAGGATACTTTCTTTTATTATGTTTTTCTTGACTAGTGTGTAGAGTGTTTTTTCTTAGAAAAATGAAGTATAACACAAGCCAACATAAATACTGTCCTAAGAACCAGTAGATTAAGAATACTGTTAGCAATACCAAGCAAGAAGCTCTCTGAATATATCCATAAATCCATACTTTCAGAGATTCATTCCATATTCAAATTCTTAAGAAGCTAAAAGAAGTCTGCATTAAACTGTTTATTATGCTTCACATTTTGACCAATTTTCTTTTGGTCTGAGCTTGGGAGACATTTCAGAATTGCTCCTTCCTATATAGAAAATGTATCTGTGCTGGAGCCTGTTAAATGTCAAAATGGAATAATTACATGTTATATCCCCATAGCAGTTATTTTGTTACTCTAATCTATTAAATAATTCTGTTACACTGCACATGCTTAAAATCATAAATATTTCCAGTGACTTTTTATTAACCAAATACAGATATCCTTCTTAAAGATCATACCTGTTTAAACAAACTGGTAAGAACATTAATATGAACAGTACTTAAAAGTCAATGTGAGGTTTGCTTTAAATATACATCTTGATGACATCAGGACTGGAACAGCAGTATCCTCAAGAACACTAAACAAGAATGTTGTTTTCAATGCAGAAAAACGTGTAATGAATTCCTCATTTGCTTTTAAATACTGATATAAAGTTGTGGTAATGCAGCACTCTTAAAAACAATGTTAGGGCTGTGACCAGAGAAGTGGTTCAAAAGTGTGTATGGCAGAGCTTGTTTTTTTTGTTTGTTTTTCTTTTGTAGAATGCCTTCATGTAGCAAAAAGCTCCCCTGCTAGCCTAATTTAATGTTCTAATTTTTTCTAATTATGCTGAAACATCAGTTAAGAGCCTACCTGATGTTTTGGAGAATTTGCTGTGCTGGGATTGATATTCCGCAATGCCTAAGAGTAAAAATAAGATGGATAAAAATTACTTTAGCTGCATCGTTTGCCTATGCACGCTGTCTTATAAACACCATCTTGTAGTATCAAGCCCCCGAGACAGGCCAGATGAGACAGGGTAAGGGAGTTAAGAAACTGTGAAAATCAGGACACAGTAAAACAAAACTCACAGATTGACCAAGGATGCATATTTGACAGATAAGCTTAATGACCAGGGAGAACAACATGAAGGGAACTGGCTGTCACCTGGTCCAAAGTTAGTCAGATTCCCAATGACAACTGAGGCAAGAAGACAATTAGAAGGCCTACCTAGAAGCATGCTAGCACAGGATAAAATGTTTGTTGGTGGATTAATTGCAAAGCAGGAACAGCAGAAGCCCAGGTGCTTAAGCAGAGAGAAAGTCCTGATGCCACCTTTGCAATGTATTCTTACCTAGAGTACTATAAAAAGTAACAGCCGTAAAGATGACCCATTTTACACCAAGAGATGCTGAAGGTTCCTACAAAACAAGCCTTGACTACAAAGGGGATAACGGGAGTCAGATTCCAGGACAGAATACTGCAGGTGATGAAGAAAGAGAAAAGCTGTCTTTGAGGACATTAAGATATCATCCTCTCCTGATACAAGGCCCATCACCCAAAGTGAAAAGGGAACAGGGTAAGATTTTAGAAGGTCTTCCTCAAAGAAAAGATTAGTGCTCTCTCTGGCAGTGTCAAAAACCCAAAGAATATCCTATCTAGCACAGATGGTAGTAATTCTTAAACATTCAGATGGAAAAATCGAAGCAGAAGGCTTAAAGTCAAAAGGAAGTCAAGCCCGAATTTAAAATCCAGAGATTCCAGCGTCCAGTCCTACACTTTTAACACTTGCTACAGCTGTATTCATATAGTAGAAAAATACTGAAAGGAATAGCTTGCAGCATAATTACGAAGTTTGAAATTCTTCACATAAGAAAACCACTGGTTCAAAACACGGTATGAGTGATTCAGTTGTTCCATGCTCCACTCCACTGTTTAAGAGATAAGATTTTAGCAATAAGGTGTCTCTTCAATGTATCTTATATAAACTTTAAAAGTACTTTGAAATACTACAGACTGTGACAGGCATTAAAAGTGAAAGATTTTCTTCCACTTTAAAGGCAGAACTAAAGCAGCTGTGGGAACCAACTTCTTGCCTTTTTGCATGACTCAGAACTCAGTGAATATGAAATATATTCTCAAGAGGAATATCCAATCAGATCAACAGTCCATGATGTAATCCTAATAGTAAAGAAGCCTGTTCTCAGATAAGTTTTGTTAGAGAGGAATGAGGGAGGAAAGCAAAATCCTTCAGTCTGATACTTTCATTACCAAGCTGGTATCAGTAACAGGATTAATTCAGACCTTTTTAGAGCTCAAAGCTTTTTGTACAGTCACTGGTCTTTAAGACTAACTGAAACAACAACTTAGCCAGAACAAAACTTAACATACAAAAGAAATAGTGGAAGTAGGTGTCTAACCTGTGGCCTCACCTGCCGAAGCAGTTCTTGATGCTTCAGTCTCAGCCTTTCCTTCTCCATCTGTAGCTGCTGAAGTCTCATCTGTTGCTGCTGATTGGAACTACTCCCACCCATCACACCACCTTGGGGACTCTGAGGAGCCAGAGGGGGTGGCTGTTTCACTGGAGCACTTTGGCTGATTCGCTGATTCATGGCTAAGGAATCAAAACAATAAACATTTAAAAATTAAATTCAAACAAACAGATGTAAGGAAAGTATTAACCTTAGAAGGCACATATTAAAAACTTCGTAAAATTACAAGCCATGACAGTACAAAACATGCAGCTACACTCATATTCAGACCATGAAATGTATGCTGCTCATGTGTTATTCCTGTGAAATCAATGCAGCAGTCTCATGTTTAAGAGTACATACTTGTTCGGAAAGCTTCTGGAAACAGTTAAATCTGTGAGTTTGTAAAAAATTCAAAAGCGGTAGTAAAAAAAAGTGTCGACTTGTATGCCTAATGCACAATGAGAACCCATCTTCCCTTCCTCCATAAAAACAAGACCTAAGACAATTTTATCTTATAAAATAACGCATGACTGGAGTGCATCTACTTGACAGGCCTGATTTTTCCCTCTCAAGACCAGTACATTTAAAGCCAACAGACACACTGGAGTTCCCATAGTTAAAGAGAGAAAGGCTGAATGTGTTACAAGGATGCTATTTTCAGGGGCTTTCAGTTTTGGAATTAACTCTCCATCTTGTTGTCCAGAACAGCCTGAATCTGTTAACATTCACAATATGCTGCAGAACGTATTTGCCAAAGCAGTGGTGGTGATTTTTTTTTTTTTTTCCTGGGAATGAGGATTCTGGTTTATGGGAACTAAGAAGGAAAAAAAAAAAAAAAAAAAATTGGTGCAAAGAAAACCATCTGTTGTATTAGTTTGAATTAATGTTTTCATCGTATATAGACAATTCCTAGAACATGTAACACTTCTAACCATCGTAAGAAAGGAGAGTTATCTCATAAAGAATCTGTACCATCTTTTCTCTGAAAAGCCCTTCAGTCTTCACTGTCTTTTGAGTGTTCAGCTTAAGGTACAGTACTGCCTTTTTTTCTATTCTAAGGAAGCCTAAATATATTTATATCATAACAGCAGTAAAATGGCTGTTTCTTCACAGCCTTGCTCTCTTTTCCCCTTGCCACAGCTCATCTTTCCATTGAGAGGTAACATATGGAGAAGAAATAACATATGCTCTGGGAGTGAGAACAGAAAAGAAAAAAAATAAAAGTCAAACAGTTATGAACTCAACTTTCTAGTCTACCCTTTCAACTCTTCCATAGGTCCAGGACAGAGTCAATAGCTAATAGACAGGTGGGTCACATTTTTGTGAGTCAAGCCAAAATAAAAGGCAGTGCCAAATAGCTTGAAGTAATTTGAAATAATCTTTTATGTAGTTACTTGTGAGAGATCTTCACGCACATGATCACAAATAAAATAAAGCTTCCTGTAGAGGTAAGTGAACAGGTGAAATAAGAATAGAAACTGAATCCCAGTACCAAGTAGAAACAACAGACTGAATACAAAGGGCTGGAGGTTCAACTCCAACCTGCAAGTCTCATCCTGACCCCGTGGGGAAAAAGAATAGTGGGAAGATGACGTTGCTGTGGATTAAACCTTAAGTACTTGATCTTACAAAACATCCAGCACCACTTCACCATCAAAACTGAACTTCAGGAAGAAGATGACCAGGATAAGCCAATCAACCAGCTTTGCAACATGAGCTGTGTCCCTAGGTCAGCAACAGGAAGAGACAGGGCAGCCTGTTCCTCTGCTGAACACAGAAGGTTCATATGTCCCAAGACAACAGAAAGAGTTAAGCAGAAGTTTCAACAACACCAACAGCTGTCCCTGCAAGGATGTCAGCAGTGAACTCTAATTACAAGTTCCAGGACCTCCACTGGTCACTCTCTGCTGGAAGACTGATAGTGATTAGACTACCTACATTTACCAAAACTAGGGCAAAACTGAAGCTAGAGAAAGAAACGCAAAAAGAAACGCAGCCCACCAGCTCTAGACAAACTAGACATGACACTGCTGGAGTGGGGAATATATCTCCTCCTTTCTCTCTTTTTACCCATAATCCTATCAAGTCTCAAACTAAGACCATGTCCTTTGCTTTTTATATCTTAGCTTCTTTCACCTTAAAAAGCAGACAATGAAGGGATTAGTATGGGACAACAGAAAGCAACAGCCTTCTCTTCCTGTTAGCTAATTCTGCAACTCAAGCAGAAGTCTGTGCTACCCATCCAGGAAGTTCCAGGATTCAAAACCTGTTATTAAACAAGATGGAAAGTCAATTACAGTGGAAAGTGAAGAGGGACTACGGTAGAAAATCACAATCACCTGAAAGATGCACATCTAAGTTAAAAGCAAACTACCTAACTTGTAAAAATTAAGTACCCAAGCTGAAGACTGTCAGTTTTCTTTTGGTTAAAAAGGCTGCCTTAATGGTCTAGTCTCCAATTATATAATCATGGTTTCAAAGTCCCTGCCTCATGCAGTTCACAGACAAGTCATGTTACAGATAACCTCATAAAAATTTAACAATTTCTAAATTTAGTTAAACACTTATGTGCAAGATCACTAACATCCCTTCAACATGTTATGAATTTGCTTTTCCTACATGCATCATACAAGTATTCCTTCCCTAGGTCTCTTTTCCACTAATATGCAACTTTGGAAATAATTTGTCATGTCAAATTCTTGATATTTTATATACATGTATCTTTCTGACAGCTGCTTGTATTATTCCTGTTCTTTCTGATCACAGTTTGCTCCATTCATCCCATCTACTGACCTTGCAATTATAACTGTAAGAAAAAAATCATGTTTGTCTACTGTTTTCCATTTTATTCCCTCATCCTAGATCCCTGAAATGGCATCTAATGTCCATTTTGAAAGTAATGTTCCTAATTAAAAGTTTATCTAAACCAGGAATATCATAAGATATTGAGACTTCAGTGTATACTTAATATTAATCAGTAAATATTGGGGGAAGATTACTGATATGATTTGGTAACTCTTCAGAAACTGAACCTAAAAATCTAGTTTCTAAATTCTTATTCACATATCCATTAAAAGAATTTTTCTGAGTATTTTATAATTTCAAGAATGCAAGTGCAAACGACTTCAAATTGACCAGATTTTAAACTGTCCTCAGAACAGACCATGGAGATGTTTTTTATGTAAGGGAACTACTTTTACCTGTGAAATTAAACTAAAAGTTTGGACATTAAAAGAAAATACCATTAACTGAATTTTAGTGACTTAACATACACAAATGAAGAACCAGTGGGAAAAACCAACAGTAATAACACTGAATGATTTTCAGCCACCTTGACTGATTACATAAGTGTTCTATCTTGAAGGGAAACAGAAAGAAGAATATAATTTTCTATAATTTCCACCACAATATTTAGCGAAAAGAGGGAAATCACATCTTGTTTCATGTGACAGGAAAAACCAGAGGGTTTTAAAGTTTTTTTGTTTGGGTTCTTTTTTGGGGGGGTTGTTTTTTTCTTTTTTTGGATTGTTTTGTGCGGTGTTTTTTTTGTTTGTTTGTTTGTTTTTTTAAATTCTCTATTCTCCATTACTTACTGAAGAGAATGACCACAGAAATCTGTACTCTAAAGAATATGTTTATCAATGTGATCTCAGACAAGCACATTTTATTTTTTCCTTACCTCATGGGCTTGTGATGATCCTGACACACAAAGCTCTTTTTAAGTACTTTGAATTCAAAGAGCCTCATCTATCCATTAGAGTTAGGACATCACTTTTCTAATACATCCTGTTCCTTACCTTCCATGGCTATGGAAAGTATTTAAATAAGGGGCTCTGCACCCACACAGCAGAGACTGCAAAGACCTCACAGGCAGAGAAGGAACAAACAAGGCTTTGTTTCTAGAAAAGGGGGATTTGAGGGAGGAGGAGGAGGGGCAGACAAGTTAAAAAACACGAGCAATTTAAAACAATAAAAAAGACCTTGCCATCCTATAATATAGCTTAGCTTCACAATCTGCAGAATACAGTCAGTTGTAATAGCTGCAATATGCTTTTGAGAACATAGAATCAGTGGTCTTCACATGTTATACATTAAATGTTCTACTGTCCAAGCCGAACAGCAGAATGTCTGTTCTGTACTGTAGCAGATAATACTTGACAGTTATTGAAAAAAGTTTAGACTGCTGTCTATATCCTTAATGGACTTCCCCCCACCCCACAAAACCCCAAACCAAAACCAAACCAAGAGAGAATCAATTATCAGTCATTGGTGCTAGAGAGAAAAAGCCAGGAGATTGTTAACAACATAAAAGGCTAATTCTCTCCCAAGATCCTATGCCAATTTAAATCACACCTCCCAGGGCACTAACAGTTTGCAGTAACACAGTACACTTCTCCTATGCAGAATTGCATGCAAAGATTGTTGTAGAGCACCCTTAATGATTAACAGACACCGCTGAATGTCTGATGGTTTTTCTTTTATAGTTATCATTTCACCCTTCAAATCTAAAACGAATTTTAATCTGCAAATTTCACATGTATTTGAACAAACAACAACAAAAAAGCTCAGGATCTGTGCATACTATAACTTACTGTTCTTAATAGTAAGAATCAACGAATGTTTTCACTGATGGCACTGAAAACACAGTACTTGTTCCCTTCAGCTTCACTTGAAACTAGACAGTTTTTGTGCATAATTTTTGACTATGGCCAGGTTTTTGAATGGTGCTAGTTTGCAGCACTGCAACAAAGGCAAAAATCCTCATTGACTAAATTGAAAAGAGCTGTGAAGAAAAACAAAATAACCAGCAGGATTTGAAAGAATGAATCTCGGAAGTAATAAAAACTTGTTCCACTTGTTGGCTTTTTAGAGAGACTTGGTACAACAATTTGTTGTTTAATCAGGATACAAGTCATGTTTCTGGACTGCATTCTTTATAATGCATTGCTATATTACTTTAAGGAAATCCCAGTTCTAGTTCCATAACGCTGCTGTTATAAAACCTAAAAATTAGAACAATAAAACACTTCATTGTTTTCAGTCTCCAATTAATCTGAGAATCCTGGATCTTAGAGTAAGAGGGAAACCTGAAACTGTTCTCATTTTGGCTCATTTGGCTGTATTAAGTGTACAAATAAAT